GATACCTGACTGGTCACCAGGGTGGATGATGTGCAGTAACGGGTAATGCTTTTGTAAGGGGAGCATGTGATGTGACAGCTGTGACTGATCACGTGACTGGTCCGTGCGCAGATAGCCCTGTACTTAAGTAGTTGGCCGTGGGGCTGTTCCCCCGGCTTTGGTATCAACTAGGCACCTGGACCCTCATCCCCTGACAGCATACCAAAGCCTCTACATCGACTCTGGCACTCTTCTAGCCCCAGTTGATCCTCTCTATCTCCTATATTCGTCCTCACCCTACTGTGCTTGCCTTCTCTCCTCCAATGACGACTCCCGGCGTCCCTGTCAACCTGTATTCGTACTGCCTGCTCCTGCAGAGCGAAATTACTCGCCTCACCGACCGTCTCGACCGTCTTGAGTATGGTACGCCTGCTCCACCCCCTGCTCCCCCTTCCCCTGGTCCTACATTCCACGGTGTCTGGGACGGCAGTCGCTGGGTTCTTCCAACAATCCCGGCCCCTACCCCTGCCGTCATCGCTGCGGCCCACACTTCCATACCACTTGCCGAAACCTTCCCCCCTACTGCGCCTGACACTGTCACGCGCTTCTCTTGTACGCTTGTGGTGCCTGACTCGGCTGTCGGGCATATCGTGGGTCGTGGTGGCAAGGGTCTCCACCAAGCTCATGACACTTCCGGTGCTCAGTTGCGCGCGTACTCTGATCGCGCTGCGCCTGGCGAGCGCCGGGTCTCTATCCGGGGAACCGACCAGCAAATCGGTGACGCACTTATTGCGCTTGGGAAACGGTTCATGCGTAAGCGTGTCCGTGCGAAGAAGCAACGTCAGCCACCGTCTGCTGAGGGACCTGCTCCCCCTCCTCCTGTCGCGCCTGTGCCTGCGTCCCACGCCACTAAGATGGATGTCGACCGTGCTCCACACCGCTCGTCCACTGTGCCCCGTGGCCAGTCTCAGGTGCCCCGCGCCCCCACTGCCGCACGTCCTGCCGCTCATCCGAGGGCTTCGACTGCCGCCCGGCGGGCCAGCTGGGCATTCGCGACTGTCTTCTCCCCTCTTCACGTCTACCCTACCCCGTCAGCCCGCCGCCGCCACTACCCAACCTATACGGGCCGCGGCTTCCACTCTCCCTACTCCCCAGCCTAACCCTACTCCCTTCGCACCCTCGGTGGCTATGGGAACTCCGTCGACGTTTACCCGAGTCTCGCATACCCAAGGCGCCTCTCCCATGCAGATGGATACCAGTGTGGCTTCCACTCCCATGCAGATTGACGCGGTAGCGCACGGTCGGCACCGCAATCGACAGACGGCCCAACGAGGGGGGCGTACCTGCGCAATCATCGCGTGTTATAGGCGACAACCTCTATTTCCCTGGCGACCCCGAATACGAGTTCGCAGAACCCTACACTCCGCCTATCCGTCGAGGCGACGGATCTTGAGGAGGGGTTGGTGTAAGGGGAGCATGTGATGTGACAGCTGTGACTGATCACGTGACTGGTCCGTGCGCAGATAGCCCTGTACTTAAGTAGTTGGCCGTGGGGCTGTTCCCCCGGCTTTGGTATCAACTAGGCACCTGGACCCTCATCCCCTGACAGCTTTGACCAAGCATTGACATCACATGTGGCATTACTAGCATTCATGCTGCCTGTCAAATGGGCATAGATGTACAAGGACTAAGTTCCTGTTGTTACACAGTAAGAAGTTGTACTGTAGTAATTTATACAATTTGGCGCCCCAAAATGGTGTGATGTCAGCACCAAAATTAAATTTTTGGCGCTGCCTGGCGATGTGTGTGACAGCTGAAAATTTTCGGCCGCCAATTTTTTTTTCGATGATGACAAGCCTTTGGCTTGTTGTTGCTTGTTTGTGCTTGTTTGTTCATGTTTGGTAGTTGTTCCTGATCTCTCCCTTTATGTGTTCCTTAGTTCCTATATAGTTCCTTATAGTTCCTGTTCCTGTTCCTGTTCCTGTTCCTTCTCCTAGCTCCTAGTTAGTAGGGTATATAAGCCTGTCTCTAGTTTAGTTTCCATATCATATAGTTTCCCCAGCAGAGTTTCCCCCAGAGTTCAAAGTCTTTCCTCTTCTTCTCCCTCTCTGGTTGTGCTGTAGCCTTTGGTTGCAGTTAGAGCAGTTTGAAGGGCTCTTGCTTTTCTTGTTCTTTCTCACACCAGTGAGAAAGCTTGTCATTTTGGAGCCCACCGCGAGGGTACTTCAAAATTGCATCCAACGCTCCTCTTGGTTCACAGCACAGCTACGTAAAAAGTTTCAAAAATTAATCCATTACTCCCCCTACTACAGCGGTACTTGATCTACGCATCATTTTGCGGTGTCGTAGACGTCCTTCACGTCGTATGGATTGTCAAGATGGACATTTGGCCGCAAGATTTGGAGCCGTTGCTTCACGGAGGCCTGGAGCGAAGCTGGTTGGAGCGCGCGAACGAAAGCACGACACCGTTCTGACTCGGAGAGCCGGTTTTTTGAGGTGAGGAACTTGCCGATGCGCGTGAACGTTCAATAGAATGTGGCGAGGTCCGTTTCCGAGTGGATACCAGCCGCGGCTGTGGAATCCAGGTGCATGGTCCAATCTTTCAGCGTGTACAGATGATTCCCGTCGTTGCCCGCGTAATGCGACATGATGGCGATCTTCCACTCGTCGTAGGATTTAGCTGTGTCTGCGAATTCGTCGAGGCCCTCGGCAAGTTCTTGGTCATCGATTGCCAAGTACCATGAGCAGGCTCTCTTCTGTTGTTGTTCGTCGCTAATCAGGTCGGACAACATCCATATCCAGCCCTGACGGAAGGCTGAAGTTGACCTTTACATTGTTACCCTGGACTTTGATGACACTCTTTGCTAGTGAAGGTATCATAATTAACCTAGGCTAGAGTTTTAATATCTCGTTGTAGAACATTCAGGCTATGTTACCAATCCTGGTCATTGCTGCAAGGAGCATCTCTATAGGGCACCTATTCTCCAGACTCCAGCATCAAGCATAGGATGACGGATATGCATGCCTGAATGACTGCAAAATTGGCCACAGAAACAACCATAACCAAGGAGTGGTTCAATAAACCATAAGATAAATCATATGGTGGATTATATGCACTATGTATAGACTTGTGCAGCTTGAACATAATTAAATATATTCATATTCTGAACTCAATTATGAAAATTCATATTCATAATCATAATTGGACAGCACTAAATGGAATGGGCCAGTATTGACAACTAAAAATACTTGATCTGACGCTTCAACCACATTATGAGGGCATCTGGCATTGAACCAGCCATTGCTCTGTCACTTGTCTATAGTTCTTCCAGGTGGCAGGTAGATGTGGAGGTACTTGCTCAAGTGAGATGGCTAAAGGTAAGCATGTGGATAGGAGTTAGGATGGGGAGGTGATATTTATATTTTACCTGACACTCAATCAGTTCATATAAGTATAAAAAGTACAAGACCAGGCCAGGATGAACAGGTTCATCTGGGCTTGAACCAGATGCTGCATCAATATCAGGTTTCTGATCCAGTAGAGGTGTGAGCACTGGACCAGCTGGCAGTGCCAGCGATTTGTGGGCTGCAGAGCAGCACGCGCATGTTTCCTGTTTCCTGGTACAGTGCAGAGGCACTTGCTGAGGGCCAGAATGCTAATGTAGATAGGAGCTAGGATGGTCAGACAATATTTATATTATACTATCTAGCACGCGATGTGTGCCCTGGCAGATGAACCAAACAAAACAAACCGAAACAAAACGAACAAAAAAAATGAAATCGACCACCATTTTGCAGAGCAGGGTCGGCTGGGTCGAACCGGACGCTGCGTGGGCATGGATGTGCGTGTGCGTGTGGGGTGTCTGAGGGGGGGGGGTGCACCCTGCCGGGCCCTGCGTGTAGTTGGGGCTGGGGGAGGGTGCTGTTGTGGTGGTGCTTGTGCTTCGGCTGACAAGCCACATACGCGTCAGCAGATGAGGGAGGCGCCCCGGGCCTCGAAAACCGGAGATTTCGGACGGCCGCGCGTGCGTGCGTCCCCGGCTCCGCGTACCAGTAGGGTTGCAGGGCTGCACCAGGGTCGAGGCACAAGCACAGGCCGGGGAATTCTGCGCTGGAACGAAGGGTTTGATGGATCTGAATCTGCATGAAGGGGGGCCGGCGATCGTCGAGGAGACGCAGATCAGTGCAGGGGTGATGTGACGCGGGTGACTTGATGTGACGATGTTACGCGGTCTCTGGCGTCCGGTGGCGCCTGACAGCCATGTGTGTGTGTCTATCTGGGGCTGCTGCTTCGCTTCTTTCTACGATCCGGCGGGCTCTCCGTCATGGAGCGTAATCGGACGCCGCTGGATCTTGGAGTTGGCCATGGCCAGCGACCGGTGCTTGTGGCGTCGGGGGCTCGGTCCCGACGCAGCTGGCCAGTGGGGAATTGAAATCAGGGCGCCCCTATCATGGCTGCCCCTGCGTTGCGCGAGGCGAGATAGGATCGAGACTTGCGCGCGTGGGTGGGTGGGTGGCTGCGCAGGGACCGACGAAACGCCGGGTGCAGTAAGAAGCTTTAAGCGCCGGCGCCTCCCGGATGTTGTCGCGAGCCAACGCGCGCCGACACCGCGTCATCCGCGCACGCCGGGAACGCAGCACTGTGACTCTGGGCGCGTGCTCGCCACGCGGGCGGCTGCCTATTGCGGAAGGGATCTGCGGTGCGATCAGAGGATCTGCGGTGCGATCAGCCAATCATGGATCTGCAATCACATCAGTGCCAGGGACGTCTCGCTGATTTCCCAGGAGTCGGCGAGGTCGGCGGAGGGATATAATAAGGGCGGGGCGCGTCCTGGGGGGTGCTTCCCTTCCCTTCCCTTCCTTTCGCTGCCCCCCGCCCGTTTGCTGCTTTCGCCCCCCCTGGCTGCGCATTCCTTCGCCTTCTCGCGCTGCTTGTCTGGTGCGTCCCCTCCCGTTGCGTGGTTCGCTCGCTGACGAGAAGGCAGCTTTGTCCCCTCTTCACACACACAAACACGCATACCATGTCTTCTCCGTCCTCCGCCGACTGCCCCCTCAGCTCCCCGTCCCCGTTCCAGGTCGCCGCCCCGCGCCCGCGCGCACTCCACCCCCACGCGCACGCGCACATGCCCACGGTGCTCCCTGCGAGCCTGTCGCGGCGTGGGAGCGGGGGCAGCAGCAGCGACGACGCGGACCAGGACGAGCTGCTGTACGACGCCGGGCCGGGCGGCGCACACGAGAGCGAGGTCGCCGTCCGCCGCGCGTCGCACAACGCCGTCGAGCGCGCCCGCCGCGACAAGCTCAACGCGCGCATCCTCCAACTCTCCACGCTCCTCCCGAACCTCGCCGGCGTGCGCCGCCCGTCGCGCCTCGCCATCACCAAGTCGTCCATCGCGCAGATCCACCTCGCGCGCCGCCACCGCGTGCTCGCCGCCCACGAGCTCCGCGCGCTGCATGCCGAGAACGGCGCCCTCCGCGGCGAGCTCAACCGCTGGCGCGCGCGGGCCGGCGTGCCCCCGCTGGCCGAAACCGACCGCGGGGACGCGTTCGCCCTTGTGGCCGCCGGCGCGGAGGCGCCCGACGCGCGCGAGCCCGTCGAGACGCTCGACGAGGACGACTTCGACGAGCGCTTCGGCGGCACGGGCTTCGACTACGAGGCGCGCCGGCCCCGGTCTCATGCGTACCACCCGTATCCCCAGCCGCAGCCACAGGCGCAGGTGCAGGCGCAGGCGCAGCCCCCGTCGCGCTTCGCGTACGGCCCGGGCACGCCGAGCATCTCCCCGCCGGTGTACCCGAGCCCGCCGTCCTCGTCCGAGTACCTCCCGTCCGCGTTCAAGAGCGAGTACGAGCACGTGGACGTCGGCGATTGGGCTGCCGCCGACGGGTGGTGAGCCCGCGGACGCTTCGACATCGGCTTCGACTTCTCGCCGCGAACCCCGGTGCACATCACCGCATCGCGCGTCCCACGATCGTTCCTCCGCTTCGCTTCCCTGCCCTTCCCGCCAACGTCCACGATTTATACCACCGTCCCTCCGATACCCGCCGCCCCCCGCCGCGGCCCACTGCACACCCTCCTTGCCTGCCTCCGCGGCCCAAAACGCAAAACGAAATCGAAATGAACCCAAAACCGAAACGACGCTATTTATCGTACCTAAGCTTATTCGCGCGCTGTTCTTCTACTGTAGTTGTACCCCCGGGCCCACCCCCACGCGTGGCGGTCTGTGTAATCTTAGCTAATTGCTCCCGCACACATAGTGGGATCCCGATCACAGTGAGACGAGACGAGACGCCGTCGTGCGCTTCCTTTCCCCGCAGGAAGTCGGAAGGAGGTGTAGGTGCTGCGTGTTCGGCGCCGGCGGTGGGTGAGAATGTGGTGCATGTTTTTGAACGAAGTGCCACAGAGCAGGTTGCGCGTGCCGGAGCGCATCAATGTTGCATGAATGTTTTGTTTTGCGGGCAAGGGGGGTTCAAGTCTCGAATCACGGATATCGGGTCGGAAAAAACTCCTCCTGCCATATAGGGTAATATGTTCCCACGATTAGCATCATGTGACCACTGATGCGATCAAAAAGTGGCATAAAAATTCAATCTTTGTGAAACTTTTATTTTTCAAAAAGATTTATGTATGTGTATATGGATTTGTGTAGGTATGTATGTACCTGGCACCCTCAAACACACATGGCAGGCCATAGCAACTTTTCAATCTGTTCACCTGCCATCAATTACCTGATAATAGGCCTATGACAAATTTCCAAAAAAGGATTTTTTTGCCATTTGATAGAACAATCATTAGAGAATGTCACAGATCGTCACAAAATCAAAGTTGTATATATTGACTATATAAACAACTTTGATTAAGCAGCTTATAGTGCCCGTGGAATAGTTGTGCCAGTGCTGCCCAATCACTGACTGATCTACAACTGATGAGCCTCTAACTCCTGTACTTGAGGTAAATACATGATTCAAGTACTGCCAGGAGGCTTGTAAGCAGTACCATTAACTACCCATGCTATTTGATCACTATCATACCACATAATGACTGTATTCAGTTCTCAGTCATAACAAAGGGCATTTCTGGTACTCAAACTAATCTGTGGTAGGTGACTTATATGTTCAGATCCTCCCGCACCAAGGCTCTGATGTTTCAGTTTCAGATCCTGAGTGAATATGATCAGAGCAATGCAATGTATCCCCACATCAGTAGTATTTGATCTCCATCAAACCTGCAAGATAACCATGGATCTCTAACTAGTTAGGGCAGATAAAGCTGGGAGAGTACTAATTTCAAAGGTATACCACCTACCATTATCTTATCCATTTGGCTATCTCATCTGGTACCATGACAAAACCTATTGACTGCCAAGCATGATTGTCAGGGGAACCTCCCTTTCGGCCCGGAGACGCGCCCGATTCCGGTCCGATTCCGGTTCCGACTCCGGTCCGGCCCTCCATCTTGCCCGCACAATCACCGATCCGTCACCCTCCCGACAGTCGCCCTGGGACCTCGCCTGCGACGCTGCCCAAGCCTTCTGTGCCCGACAGCGGCAGCTACGGACAAGCAGTATATAGTCAGCTACCTAGCAGGCGGACCCTCAGAGTTTCTTCTGTGCCCGACAGCGGCAGCTACGGACAAGCAGTATATAGTCAGCTACCTAGCAGGCGGACCCTTAGAGTTTCTTCTCTTTGGATCCTCCCCTGCTAGGTCAGCTTCATTTGTATTCGCTTACCAATGTTCATGCTTTGGATCCTCCCCTGCTAGGACCTTGATCTCAGGCCTCCGGGGTTGCCCTTACAGCAGAAGAAACTCTCTACGGGATTAACCGGACAAGATTGCCAGGTTCGGGCGCTGACTCAGGCTCGGAGTACGCCCGCGCCCCCTGCTCCGGCGCCTCCAGCTCCCGTCCCTATGGAGTTGGATCGCACCAGGGCTCGGGGTGCCCCTCACCGCGCCTGCTTCAGGTGCGGCGACCCAAACGATCTCGCCCGGGATTGCCCCCTCCCCCGCCGATGTCCGCTCGATGGACATCCTCGACGAGGTGATCCAACAACTCGGTGACGAGATGTTAGCGGAGTTGATCGCCCGCTACACGGACACACGGCAGCGGAGTCGATGGCCGGAGAGGATTTTGTCCCCCCGCGACGAGTGACTGGTGTGCCCTCGTTCACGTCTATAAATCGTTTTGCCTCTTTGTATGATGAATGCAGTTCCTTGCCCTACAATGAGCCCGAAACGAAAGACACACCCTCTCCTGCCCCCGCCTCGACTCCATCTCCGACTCCGCCCTCGACTCCGGTCATCGTCCTTCGCCGCCTCACTGCCTGGGAAAAGAAACTGCCCAAGCAGTACACTGTTGCCGCTGCCCCTGGGGCAAACTGTAAGGGCAACCCCGGAGGCCTGAGATCAAGGTCCTAGCAGGGGAGGATCCAAAGGCGTGAACATTGGTAAGCGAATACAAATGAAGCTGACCTAGCAGGGGAGGATCCAAAGAGAAGAAACTCTAAGGGTCCGCCTGCTAGGTAGCTGACTATATACTGCTTGTCCGTAGCTGCCGCTGTCGGGCACAGAAGGCTTGGGCGGCGTCGCAGACGAGGTCCCAGGGCGACCGTCGGGAGGGCGTTGACGGATCGGTGATTGTGCGGGCGAGATGGAGGGCCGGACCGGAGACGGAACCGGAGTCGGACCGGAATCAGAGGCGTCTCCGAGGGGCCGAAAGGGAGGTTCCCCTGACATCACCCCCCCCTTTGAATGCGGCGTCCCGACGCATAGACCGGAACGGAATCGAGTCGAAGGTCGCAGAGGCGATGTGCCGTGATTTGCCAGGGTACTTACGATAGAACTCCGCAATTTTCTCCGGGGCGAAGACGCGGTCGAAGCGGACCCATTGGTCGTGCGATGCGTCGTAGCCTTTCCATCTGACGAAGTAGTTCAGCCGTTTGTACCTCACCCTTGCGTCCAGGATTTCCTCTACTTCCCACTCCGGGACTCCATCCTCGAGGTCCGGAGGGGGCTGGTCGTAGCCGGGGCGTCCGTCGAAGGGGTCATCCTGAGCGAGCTCGAGCTTGACGACGGGGAAGACCGGGTGGAGCTTCGAGTAGCGCGGAGGGAGGTCGAGCTTGTAGGCACCTTTGCTGATCTCCGCGACTATCTTGAACGGTCCAAGGCGGCGATGGGAGAACTTTTCCGAGGGGCGAGTCGTCCTGATGTCAGAGGCATCCAGCCAAACACGGTCGCCAACCTTAAACTCCGGAGACGGAGTCCGTCTCCGGTCGTAGTAGCGCTTGTACTCCTCTTTGGCCTTAGTGAGCGCGGCCTTGGCTTCAGCAACACCAGTGGCGATCTGGTCGCGGAACTCGTTCACTGACTCCATGGCGGAACGGACTCCGGGTTCGAAGCCCATGCGCAGGAGCCGTCCCGTGTCCGTCATGAAGGGGACCTGCTGCGTGGAGGAGTGAACGTGGTTGTTGTAGGCGAACTCCGCGGCCGGAATCAGCTCATCCCAGTCGTCCTGCTGGTAGTTGGTGAAGATTCGCAAGTACTGCTCCAGCTCCTGGTTGACGTGCTCTGTCTGACCGTCTGTCTGCAGGTGGTACGCGGTGGACGTGGCGGGCTTGATGCCGATTAGACGCCAAAGTTCTCGGGTGAAGTCCGCGATAAACTGCGAGCCGCGGTCGGAGACGTACTTCTCCGGAGTCCCGTGGTGCCGCCAGACATTCCGGTAGTAGAGGCGGGCTGCCCCTACTGCATCGACCGTCGTATGACACTCTGAGAAGTGGGCGCGCTTTCCGAGGGTGTCAACGACGACCATGATCGCGTCGTACCCATGGGCTTCGGGAAGCTCTACGATGAAGTCGACGGAGACGGTATGCCAGCGTTCCGGGGGCGTTTCCGTGGGGTGCAGTTCTCCGTGGGGCAGTCTCCGGAGTGCCTTGGTGCGACAGCACAAGTCACAGGTCGCAACATACCGGCCGATATGGCGAGACATCTGAGGCCACCAGTAGTTCCGGGAGACCAACTCCAGGGTCTTGAAACGACCTGCGTGTCCGGCGACTCGGGTGTCATGGCAGAGCTCGATGATGCGTCTCCGGAGGTCCTTGTCCTTTGGTACGACGATCTTTCCTCGGAAATGGAGAAGACCGCCAGAGACGGCCCACTCGTCAGAACGTGAGGAGCGGGGGCCTCGAGCTTGACCTTGGACCTTTAGGAGTTGCCGGGCCGCTAGTGTGACGGGCTCCTCCAAGTCTGGCTCACCGGAGAGGGCATCACGGATGTCGCGAAGAAGTTCAGAACCAGGGCCGGAAACAGAAACACCTTCAAGTGCGCGAACGTGGAAGAGTTCGGGCCGCAGAAGGACGACGTCAGAGTTGTCGGAATCGACTCCGTGGTCGGGTCTCTGAGAGAGGGCGTCAGGTCGGCCCATGTCGCGGCCGGGCTTGTGGTGCAGCGTGAAGTCGAACCGGGAGAGGTAGAGGGACCAGCGGGCCTGTCTCCGGTTGAGGTGTTGCGTCTTCCTGAAGTACTCCAAATTCTTATGGTCAGTCCAAATCTCGACAGGGTGCGCGGCGCCCTCGAGGAAGTGTCTATACTCCTCGAGTGCGCGGATGATCGCGAGCATCTCCTTGTCGTGGATTTCGTAGTTGCGCTGGACATCATTTAAGCTTTTGGAATAGAATGCTACAGGGTGCCACTTCCCGTCCGGGGCGGATTGTGAAAGAACCGCCCCCGTCGCATAATCAGAGCTGTCCGCCTCGAGTCGGAAAGGCCGTGCGTCGTCCGGAATCGCCAGGACCGGTTCGAGGTGACCGCGTCCTTGATCGCTTAGAACGCGGAGGCCTCCGCGTCGCCCCAAGTCCATTGCTGGTCCTTCTTGGTGAGCACGAAAAGAGGGCGCGC